CATAAAAATCAAACGGACTATTTTAAACTCATTTTCCCTCAGGTCCTGTTAATAAGCTGACATGCACTGTTTGAAAAGCAACTGTCTGACCACCTGGCACTCAGCCATTTTTTTCCTTTTTTTGTTTTGCTTTAATCATATGTGAAAGCAGTTTAACAGATATGATATTCTGTTATGTTGCAACATCAATCTGCATACATCTATTCAGAGACACATCTGAGATGTTCTATATTACTTAGTCACAATACATATTTGCAATACCTACGCAGACAATTTTCTCCCTCTGTGTAAGAGTTAGGCATCAAAATTAAAACGCAATAAAAATTAAAAAGCAATGCCTTAGGTATTTAAGTGCAGATGGATCTTCCCTTTGACGATCCTCCTCACATCACCTTCATGAACATATTGTAAAGTTCCCAGTCTCGCACTTTAAAAATGACTTCCACAATTTTGCAACCGTTTTGCATAACACCCCAGATATTTTCTGGAATTTTGGTAACACAGGTTTGGTTTCCTACAGCCATTTAAAAGGGGATTAATGAGACTAATAAGAGATATGCCTAATGTCTGGCTTCAACTCCTGACCAATATTTCTCTCCACATGACGTAAGAGTCTTGAATGTCTGGTCTTAATCATGTATCCAAGTGTCAGAACTGAAGCTCTGGTATTCAAGTTCTACACACGGGTACGTGCACATTAAGATATATTTTAGAGTATAAAAAGCATTGTGCTATCCAGATAGAAAAGTTGACAGACACATCTCTGTAGAACCTGCTGCCACATGACCAATACAGGAACCAACTCATTTTTCAACATTTTCTAAAGAAGGACATTTCTTAACATAGAGAGTGATTTCTGTGAAATGAAAGTAACTTTAAGATGTTTGTAGAATTCAAAATGCATTAAGGACTTCTTTCTTTTGGAAAGTCACAACTGTCTTTCAACGTGGATGCACTACAGATATGTACACCTGAATAGGTGAAAAATCCAGTTATCTAGCTATTACCCAAAAGTCTAGACAGTTTTCCCTGCAAGAAATTACTAAGCCAAAAATCTTAACTCATTTGAACGTGTTCTTTTGCAAACTACAACTTCCACCTGTAGTTCCAATTACCTAAAACCTGCAACATTTGTCATGAAGAGTTCACACTACCACATAAACCTCATGTTAAAACTCCACAGAGGGTCTGGCATATCACAGGATGTTCAATTAGGCTGCCACATGGGCTCTGTACAGGCTGCAGAAAAAGTGAAGCAGGGGAAATGAATCAAGTGTGTGATAACACACACCGTATGGATCAGGATAAACACGAGACTAACAGCAGTAATATTGCTAGCATCAAACGGCCACAGAAAGAGGCCATCTGTACAGTCAAATGGCATGGTAATCAGTGGGAAGAGTGGATGTAATAAATCACAAATCTCACATGGCATCATCTGAGAATAAATAGGAAATGTCTTGATGTGAGTGTGATTGGCGTGGTGATCCATGTATGCATAGGAATGGTCTTCTCTGATCTTTGTCCAGGTATTACCCAGCTTGAACAAAGGAAATCATGTTGGAGGCGACAGCTTTGCTAGACAACAGAAGAAATGCCTTTAAGCATTAATGATAAGCAGACTAATAGATTTCCCATCATATGAGTAAACAAAGGTTTTTCAATATGGTTGAACAGAAAAGTCTTTGTTAAAAGCCACTGAATAAAGTGCCCAAATGCAGACAGACAAAGCCCTGATCTTGAAGCAGCCCAAGCTCTGAAACATGCAATCTATCACGTAAGAGACAGAAGAGGTCAGCCATTAATTAACATCCAAATTAAAGCTTTTCAAGCAAGGGTCAAAACTTCCTTTGTTTTGACATTTAAATCACTGGCAATGCGTTCCCCCGTTTAGTATGCACAACACACCACCCAACGCCTTTATGTTAATTGCCTCAATTTTTCAAGTGCACTGTTTGATTCATTGTCAATTTAAAATACCCCCCAAAAGCCAAGACTCGTGTATGTTAAATATAAACATGATTAATGTAACACAATTACATTTCCACATTTGATAAGTTGGATTAGGAACTTTCTATCGGCCTGGCTTGACGGAGCATCATCACTACCAGTGACCTGTCAGCCTTGCCAAAGACAAGCTTTATGATGGGGAAGTATTTTATGGCCACAAGTGTTTCAGAAAGGTGTAAAACCTGTAACTAAATGCTGTCAATTATCACTTTATCAAGAATGCACCAATCTTTATGATCTTCTCTATTTGATTGCAGAAGATGGTCCTAGGTCTAAACCAAAAAAAAGCTATAAACGAAGAAAAATCCAGTAACACAATTGCTTCTTAAAACTATAATTATGTAGAGAAACCCTCTGGTATTTCCAGAAAGTGACTCTATAAATCCTCTCCCACTACATCAAGGGAACTTCTGGTTTAACAAAACTGCTCTCAGGGAAAAGAACTGGGCAGACCAAAACCAAGAGAGCAACACCTGATTTTGGTTGTGGTCACGGAAAACACAAGTTATAAGAAAATAAGGGGGTCTGATGGGAAAAAAAGAAGTCAAAATTAGGAAAAATAAATGACAAAATTAGGAAAACAAAATGGTTCAAGTCTGGAGGTTGCTGTTAAGCGAGAAGCAACAGTAAATAAAGGAAGCAGTTCAGCCTGAGCACAATGAGATAAAAGCTAAGAAACAGCAAGAGAATATCAGTGCAACTAACAGAAGGAAGGTTATGCATACACAACTGGGCTGATGGAATTGTTATGGCCAACGTGTAAGTGGGCTTTGATAAGAAATGATACAAATCAGAACAAGAAATAAGATAAAATTCTGTACCCTCAGTTTGGGCTTCTCTTCCTTCTTTCCATCAGTATAAATGTAAAATGTAATTAACATTGCTGTATGCAGAAGTAATAAATATATAAGAACCAGCCATAACCTAGTATTTCCCTTGTAATTAACTATAGAAATGAAATGTACAGTAGGTCCTTGTTTAAATTGAAAAATTAAAAAAGAAAAATACTGTTTTATTGCACTTCAGAAAAGAATTAAGGAGCTCCTTGGCTTATCGAGGACTACAAAAGCAATCACTGCTATAGCCTGTTTTGCATATTCACGCTATTAATTTACATAGTCCCGGTAAGCCTCACACTGCAATGCACCTGCTAAAGTACATGACTCTTGGGTAACAGATATAAAAAGATGCAAGAGCATGCAAAGTGTATTCAAACAGACAATTAAAAATATCAATTCTGTTGACAGGCTAAAAGGAAGAAACTGCAGAGGTTTAACGCTGCTACATGAAGGACACACTGCTGATGAGTGATTGAATTAACTCAAATCGTGCATTGACAGTCTGCCTTTGTCAAACATTACATATTAAGCCAATTTAGTGTCTGCTTATTAAAATAATTTAATTCTGAAGATTGTTTCCAGGCATTTCTAAATCTCCTCATGCTCCTCACTCTTCCTTGCATTAATGATGGCATCTTAATTATTGGGCTAGTTTCACACCAGTGCAATTTTCTGGGTTACCGTAGAGCAGCCCAGTCAACTTTGGCTTAAGCAGCTCATCCTTTAGGTATATGGAAGGATGAGCTCAAATTAGCAGGAGATCCAGCCAGACACAGTTCAGCCTCAAAGTTCAGAAGCAGCCAGAGAATACAATAAAGCTTATTTTTATTCAGCTTAACACTAACTTGTTAATATTGCTTTTCTTTACATGGGTCTTCAATTTTGCATGCTTATTGAATCTATTAATTCTTCTTATATTCTATGAATTTTTACTTTTAACCATGTAGAAATGATGTGTTCATCAACTCTTTAAAATAAGAATTGAAGAGAGAACAAAATTGCACAAGAAATTAGAATTATGAAATCTGTCTTCTAAACTCAATAATCATCTCACGTTTCTGAATTCGGATACTACACCTTCATCCAAACATGCATTATAGTGAAAATATATCAATATTAGTAATAATAGCTGGAGGGAACTGAGATGGGAAATGTGTGCATTTAATGAGCGATATTGCTTTACATTTCTTCATCTCAGACTGTCGCTCTGTATCACATTGTGCAATCTAGATAGTGTATGTAGATGCCAAGCACTACTGTCCCGTGCTGCATATCTAGAAAAATTCCTGGTTCAACAGGAAGCAAACAAGCATGGCAAGGAAACCATTAGTAATATGTATCACATGTGAAAATGCTGGTGTGTTTGCAAGTTATGAAAATGGCAGCATTGTTTTTAAGCATTCAAACCCATTGACCGCTGGATAAGGTACTGCCTTAGTTTGACAGTCCTGAAGTCCCCAAGCCACAGAACTGAATGAACAAGTTGTAACACTCACTCCCTAAAGTACTTGAATGAACCAACATTGGGACCGAAAGACAGTTAAATCTCCTTGAGTTTAATGCCTTGAGTACACGGGGTCAGAGTGGATTGCCAAACGTGACACCTGGTTATTGGAAATACTAGTGAATATCCCTGTTGTGTGATGCATGTAGTAAAAGTTTGGTGTCACGGATGATCACAAGCTTCATCCAGACTCCTCTGAATTTCATTTAAGACTTAGACTTAAACTGGCTTTGAATGAATCTTCTAGGATATAACTTTCTAAGTCTGAGTTGCGGAGATGAATTAACAGTCAAATGCTGAGAGGCAGGCCCTGACTTCCAAGATCACAAGAAAGACTAGAAAAAAAAATTTAGAGTAAATTTACATTTTAAGAAGTGGACGATCCTAAGTTTTCACAATATTTGTATTGTCCTAAATGATATTATATAGTATTTTGCCATCTCCAATGCACAGAACAGAGTAAAGTCTGTAGCGATAGAGGATTAATGCAGGAGAACCTAGGCAGAATCATGGCCATATTCAAAATCCTATGAAAAAAAAGAAAAAAGAAAAAAAAAAAAAAGAGCTTTCTAATAAATGGCAAGAGTTATAAGAATACATAAGCAATTCTGATTTTTGCACAATAGTAATATATGAAAACAACATACAGTTCAGAACTGGCTGGTCCTCTGTGAATTCAAACGGCTGTTCAATATAAAAAACCTTTTGCTGGAATCCAGGGACACATTCTAAATCTTCTGCACATGAAAGCAGCAGAACCTGAGGAAAAAAAAAAAATGAAACAGACTTTTACCATCCACTCATTCATCCATCATGTTGGCTTCTGGGAATTATACTGGGCTTAGGCTCAGTGCTCATAAAACAAAACATTGGGCTCCATGCTCATAAAAAAAAATATCCACCACATCACGCTTCTCCTTCAAATCTTGCTAAACAGTTTTTTATATAAGGTTTTTACTTTTGTACATGTGGCTGGTATGGAAATCACAAAATAGCAGCTTTCAACATTAAGTTCAGTCCAGATTATCAAGAAAGGATATTACTGTGTTCGTGAAAATATAGGATGTAATATTGTTCTTAAAATCACAGGTGAATACAGCTAGGCTTAAATATATGCTTAAATTAAACACTTTTAAGTTGATTTAAATAATTGAAACATCAGGGTCTGCAAGCCTAGTTTCAGAAAGTTGATCGCCAAGGTACAGAAGGAATTCTTTACTCAAGGGTGGTTTCACATAACAGAAGTTTTCTTTTATAAAAACTTATTTTCTAGCAAATAAAATGTTGCCTTTTTTTTTTTCTTCCCTCTGAGCCACATTTTGTCCATTTTCCCTGTAATCAAAACCTTGTTTACACCAAGGAAAGGCTGAAAATGAAATATGTGCATCACAGTGGCAGTGGATCTGAAGGTTAAAGTTGAAGACAATTTGTGTCACTGTATATGGTCAAAGTTCCCCATCACCACAGGAACACCTCAGCAAAGAAGGAAGTTAAAAAGCAAAATAAAGTTAGCTGGAAGTAGGTACAATGCTAATCTCAGTCTCTGAAGGTGACTATCCCTGAATAGATACAGCAACCCGAAAAGCTATTTTTCTTAGCAGGTTTTAAATGAGAGCATTGGGTAAGAATGCCCAAGAAAGAGGCAACAAGAAAAAATTACTAAAAAGTTTAAGAGGTTAAAGAGAGAGAAAAAAGGAGGCAAGTTCAAGAGCAGGGAAAGCCAAATCTGGGTTTTTCAACCTATATATGTGTAATTGAACTTTCAAAAATACTTTCTGCTTCAGAACTTCCAAAGATGCTTTTCAAAACCTGACTTTCAGCTGGTGTACAGAGTAGTTGAATCTCAAAGTTCTTATGGCCAGTCTGCTGCTTGTTGGACACATGAAAAAATCAAGGAGAGAGGGCACATGTAGTGACCAAGAAGAAAATGGTCAAACACAGTGGTTCTGAATGACATTCACTCTAAAATTCAAGTGGCCCGGCACAAATTTACTCAAGACATCCTCAACACATGATCACAATTTTACAACTAAAGCTGTTCATCTCTAAAGTGAGGACAATTTGACAATGAATGCTGAATGCTGAAGTGACAGACCACACTCTCACTTCTCCCAACCCACTAGCAGCATCTCCCACATTTCAGTTCTACCTCCACCCCATTGTCATCTAGGCATGCTGATCCTGAGCCTAGAGACGTGTCCTGCAAAATTTTCACATCTGCATGTTTCCCTCTTAACCACCATTCACTAAACCAAAGCAATACATTATCTTGCTCTCTCCCTTCGTGCACTTCACCCTCACTATAAGTTTTATAGGACCCCATTTATAAAAACCAAAGGCAGCGGCACTCCACCTGGTCTACATTAGTTCTTCTTATTGAAACCAACTGCTGGATCATTTGTTTCATGTCACTGACATGTGCTATAAAAGCTTGGCTAGAAGTGCTAGCAGACTGAGAAACAGCCAGAATATTTCATTACAATTAAGCTGGTGGTAGTCAAATGCAGCAGAAGGATGCCTTTGCCTTCCATCCTGACCTGCTCTATGTTTGTCCCTTTGAAGGATTAACCAAGAAAGAAGAGAAAGAGCTAAACTAACACACCAAGCAAGGTGCAATACACTTGACTATTATTCACTTCCATATATCCATATAAGTGCTGTCTTTCTTACCAAGCCTTAAAAACAGAGTGCCTCATCCTTCATCCAATTATTGACATTGATATCTTGATGTTATTGGAAATTCTGGGCTCTGTAGGGGCTGAGAATTGGATGTCTCCCCTTCAGTCTTCCAGTATGAGACAACTGCAAATGTGAACTGACATACTCAGAGCCTGCCCTCAAAATCATGCATAAAACTTGATTACTGATTATTTTTTAAAAAAAGTATTTAAATGGTCACATGCACAGAAAGACAGGCATGCATTTTCTGCACATTTTCTGCGTGCACAGGTGCATTTTTCAAGTACATTTCTGACTCATGGTGTTACTGAATGAATATACATAGAAATGCAACCACAGCAGAAGGGAAATTCTTCCTATCTCGAGATGCAAGCACCAACTGAAGCAAATTTATATAACCAGCCCATATCAGAATAATAGCCCAAGCAATACATAATTTCACTACAAACTCTTCTCCTAAAGGATTAACACAGAAAGTAAGAGGCAGAGCATGTTCTGATCTCCCAGCTCTTGGCATCTTGAAGTTGAAACTCTTGTCTCACGGAGCTATATATAAAAACCTGCTTCGGACTTCATCTGTGTCAGTACTTAGAGAATATGTCTACTTTATCAGATTTGTGACAGTATAAATTGACTTTGAAATCTGGGCAATCTAAATAGGTCATGAGTTAACTTCTGTGAGCCTGGTACAGAAGCTCACATAATACAGATGTAGCAAATAGAAAATGACCTTTGCTCCCTTCCAAATAATTACAAGACTCAGGCTTGGCCTTGCTGTGAAATGGAACATTTTATTCTACTTGTACAATTCCAGGCACTTTCTTCTTCTCAACATGTCAGACAAGATGTTAAATTTGTCACCACACTGAGAGTTTTAAATTATTTATCTTTTAAAAGCACAATTATTTATTTTTTCTCACAAACTTCTTCTGTTGAACTGAATATCTATCTTATTAAAATAATTTCTGTTGAAGTTATTAACTTCGGGGGAAAAAGTCTTTAATAATACCTTGAAAAATAAGCCAAGCAGATACACATTGAAGGCAAAGAGACTACTGTTCAAAGTACAAAACATTCCAAAGTTAAGCACTATGTAGATTGCATATTTTTGGATACAGTAGAAGGGCTTATGGGTTGATAGCAATCTAAATAAAAACTTCAGCTGAATACACTGAAAATAATGTTTAAATGTCATATATGTAGTATTCCGAATACATAAATATTGTTCACACATCTAGTCAAGTACAAAAGGATCCTTCACCTACTGCTAAGAAAAAAGCTCCATTCTTGAAAGAATACGGCAATTCTGCAGCAAACATCATTTGCTCATGAAAATCCAAAGGGCTGGAAGTCTGAAAAGCAAACCAGGGAGTCGTGACTACTCAGACCTACAGATCCTATATTCACTGACAAGCAGAATCAAAGTTTTTCATAACCTACTGCTTTTCAGAATTGTACAGAATGGAGAGTCATTTTTAATATCCTGACAATTTCTCTTTCTGAATTTATTACCAATCACTATAAGGAAATGTCACTAGTTCGGATAACTCCAGTGCAAGTTTGGTCACTGGGCTAGAACTCTACTTCTGATGAGGTATCAAGTCCATGAAAAACCTTTTTTTAGTTAATAAAACAGCACACACACACACTGGTGACCCTGACTGACCTCAACATTTGCACTGAAAGCTGCTCACACAGAACACGGATTCAAAAGCAGAAGAGGATGGCAATTTTATACCATACAGCAGAGGAAATTAATAAAGTGCCTGGCATGAAAATACCTTTGGGTATTACCACATCCCAAAAACCAGGGTTCTTCTACCTCCTCTGCTTGGAGACTGAAAATTCATCTCTGAAATGACCTTCCACAGAATTTCAAAATCTGTGTCCGACAAAAAGTCATGCCCAGTTTCAGCACATGGAACAACTCCATTCGGGTTTTATTGGCCACATCCTCACTCTGGAAATTAATTTTCTCACCTTTTATTGTAAACACTCTCATACCTTCATTAGCCTTGCCTGTAAGAGATCAACTTTCTACCACAAAAATGCAAGCTTCAGAATACTTATTGCATTTTGCACACATTCTTATAGTGTAAATTCATCCTTGTGCAAGGCTTTAGGTAAATAGAGATGTAAATGCAGACACCTGTGAAAACCCAGACAAGTTTTCCACACAATAAATGCAAACAAAACTCATTTCCTAGGTATTCTGTAAGACCACATTCTACCTTTGACTTCAGGAAAGTAATTTGAAATGCAAACAAACCAACATAAAACCCCAGAAAAGAAGAGCTAAAACAGAAGTCACACTCATTTTTAATAATAGTAGTAATTTCAAAAATGTAAAAGTTAAGTCACTTCCTGAGAAATAAAAGATTTTTGCTTGGGGTTCTTTTGTTTGGAGTTTTTGATGGGGTGGGTTTTTCTGGAAGCATGGTTTTGGGGTTTCTTTTCTATTCATTTGACTCATTTGCTTGAAAGAAAGTGTTGAAAATTTATGCTTCCAAGCTTTTTTCTGGAAGTATGAGAACTAGAAATTTGCTTTTTGCATATGAAAACTTCAGATTTTCATATAAAATACGGTGATCTTAAAAGCTGAGAACTGAGAGGAAAAAAGTAATCAGAATAATGAGAACTGCCAGCAACACTGAATTAAATTGCACATGACAATATTTTTATCATGCAGATCAAGAACTTTCCATCTTAAAACCCTTTCTATCTTCAGGTGTTGCAACACTAGACCTACAAAATGGATGGGGAGGAAGCCATCAGAGAAGAAAAACAACTAATAAGCAGCACAGAGTCACAGAGATTTGAAATCCTGCCTTCACTGAAGTCAGTAAGAACCTAAAGATTTTAGGTTTTTACTCAATATTTAAATGAGGGTGTTATTTAAATGGAATTATCAAAGGAACACTTAAACAGAATAAGAGCACTGTTTAGGCAAGGTTCCGATTCTGCATTATGCAAACTCCAATTAAATTGTCAACAGGTCCTATGGCACTTGTTTCATCAAATAGCATACAGACTGGACATGAAGTTCTCCTTGTCTTCTGTATTTTTGACATCAATTAGAA